TATTTACCAATGAACATTAAACCATTAAACACAAAACGCTTAAGTGTCATATCAAACGAACATGTTACGCTTGCGTAGACCATAAGAGGCTAAAGTTTGAATTATTTATTATGTCTTTCTAAAATGTAACCAAAGAAGCTCGTGAGGTCTGAGCAGCTTTGTGTAGACGCGATGAGCCTGCGGATTGGAGTGACGCACGACACACGTGCGACAGAGCCACTTTATACTCGCGATGAATTGTGTAGCATCACGGTAAAATCAGGTGGTCGTCGAAATAGTGAACTCAGGGGCAAAAAACGGCATATACACCCCACCCCATATAAACAATAATTTGCGAATATTTTGTTTTCTGCTTAGTAGCTTCTATTTCCATTTAATACATGGATATTCCCGGGTGGATTTTAATTAAATACGTTGATTTATGGTACAAAAATGTGCAGTTGTAGTTCCCAAGGGCACTGCGTCTTTGGAAGTAGTCAAACATTTGCGGCCAATTTATTGCTAACTTGACCTATGGCACCAGTCGATCCCCACCTCTTGCAGTCACGAATATCTCGACTTACTTATATAATAAAATACAAGATAGATGCGTGTTTTTTCTAAACAGCTAGGCAAATGAACGAGCTTTAAGATTATACTAACAACGTCAAATGTCCCAGCATTGACGAGCGCTTGATTCCACTGCGGCGTGACACAATCACTTTCTCGGCGATTCCTAGACAAGATTGAAAGGTTCCAGTGGTATTGGGAATCGATAACGGCTCGTTGTGCCAAGAAGATTGATAATATTACTATTCAGAAATAGATGGTTATAAGGCCCGTTCTTCTTCTCACGACTCGTCTACAAACCGCACATTGCTGTATTGTGCCCCCTGTTTTCAGAGCTAGTTTCTTTTTTTGATCTTTTATCGGTTTCAGAGAAGTTTGCTCCTGCTGTTTCTGTGATACTGTCAATGCTCTTCATGCTGTTGTCGCCGTTGTTGCTCTTATTGCTGCTGCTGCTGTTATTGCTATTTTGTTGTTGTTGTTGTTGCTGTTGTTGTTGCTGTTGTTGTTGCTGTTGTTGTTGTTCTTCTTCTTCTTTTTCTTGTTCTTGTTCTTGTTCTTGTTCTTCTTCTTCTTCTTCTTCTTCTTCTTCTT